TATATATATATATATATATTTGTCAATTTAACTCGTGATATTACTGCGGTAGTTTAGTAGAGCTTGCGTTTCGATCGAAACATCATTTCGGTACGCATTTTTAAAAAACATACATACATAGTATATAAATTCACACAGAATTATATAACACTTAAGATCCAACTAGACATTTAAAGCATTGATTTCTATAGGTTGTGTTTTTCTGCACATAACGGTCTTGTAAGAATTAATATTATTATTATTATCATTATTGTTATTATTATGGCTTTCTATTTACTTGAATGCTACATCATCTAATATATCTCTCTTTCGATAGCTACTCGTGGTTTTCCAAAATAAGATATCCGACTTCTGTTTTGCTCGGAAAACTGAAAAAGAGGAACTCTTGAAAGATTTAACCACGAACCTAAGCCAGACCGGTCCTGCTGCTACACCGAACATTCCATCTCATCACAGCAGTGGTACGGATCGATTATTGTTAATTAGCTTTAACATGAGTAAATCTCAACCATTTATCTACAGGTCCTTCCGGTATAAATCCAACACCAGAAGTCGCCGCACCATCGCCGCAGCTACCTTATCCAATCCAACATCAAGGTGGTATGCCTATACCTTATGGTGCTACGCCAGCAACACCGTATCCTGCGTACGTTCCTCCACCGATGCCGACGGCGTACAATCCATATGCTACAATGCCATATCCTACGCAAGGTATTCTTGGGAATCTCATTGTTCTATCTTTATAAACATAAGTACGGCGTTATTAATGCCTAGGCATCTGAATGCAGGAGTATTCGAGACATATTCAAGACGCGTGTTCCTTTCTAAATATTCATGTATTATGATTAATGATTATTCGAAAAATGTAACATAAACTTAAAATTGAACTAAATTAAACTAAACATAAACTAAACTTAATAATTTAAAATAAAATCGCTAATTGATATAATTATATTAATTTAATTATATTGTATTAATAAATTATTAAGCTTTTATTAGTTAGCTTATTAGTTTATGTTCAGTTTAATTCAATTTTAAGATCACATTACATTGTTCGTATTGTTCTTTTGTAAGAAAGAATTGCAAAATGTTTTCTGATGACAATTTTTCTTTAACTTTTATATGAAAATTGAAATAGAAATACTCAGAAATATTCGAAAAGTTTATATCTTCTCTTAGAATTTTTCATACATGTAAGTTATGAAATATTCTGAGATTTCTCATTTCATAATTAAAAAAAAATTTTTTTAACTTTTAGATTTTATAACATTCAGAAATATTATACTTATAGAACAAATTTTAGAAATCTTAGAATATTTTATTAACATTATATATATGAAAAATTCTGAGAAAAGGTATAAATCAGAGCTTTTTAAGTATTTCTGAAAAGTTCCAATTTGTATAAAATGTGAAAAAGTTATAAAATCATACAGAAAGTTTGAAAAATTCTGAGAAAAATTTTCACCAGAAAATTGTGTCTAAAAATGATTGATTTTAAAAGTAATGATGATTTTATTTATAAATTATTAAATTATTTATAAATTATTAAGTTTAGTTAATGTTTAATTTAGTTTAATTTAGTTCAATTTAATTCAATTTTAAATTTATGTTACATTTTCGAATAATTATTAGTCATAATGCATGAATAGAAAGGAATGCGCATCTTGAATATGCCTCGACTCCTGCAAATTCAGATGCCTAGACATTAATGACGCCGTGTACATTATAGCAAAAAGCGCATGTTAGATTTGTCAATTTTTAGCTGGATATAATCCGTACCAGAGTATGCCTCAAGCTCCGTATGGAGGTTACGCTACGTTACCACGTTACAGCGGTACTCAGCCACCACATGGACAAAATCCATGGTGAACTACATAAGCAAGGAGTACTGGCATCTCCTGCGATTTAAAGTATAATCGTATATCACGCATTTTTATATATAAATTCTAGAAAAATCTGCAATTAACATTGGATGATGATGTTTCGTGTAATCCAAGGGAGTTTACGTTTACAATTGTTACACGTTTCATCGGCATCGAATCCTTTATTCAACACAGATTGATCGTTGAAATTTGTTAAGCTTTAAGCATCGCTTTATCAGTTTTGTAGAGGGCTTATTATCAATTTATAAATATATTTTGTAAAATAAAGTGAACTTATAGAAATTATTTCCACCTCTAGATAGCCTAGAAAAAAGTTTCAATGCGTCAATCAGCGACAATACAACTTTAAATGGTTTTACATACGTA